CATATTTTGTAACGTCCGGAAATTATAAGGTAAAAATTTCATTATTAATTCAACCAACACATTAATTATTTTTAAGTCAACATTCAATATCCTTTTTCACAATATTCGAAAGTGCTTTATAAGAAAACAGTTATCAGAGTACAATCCCAAAATCATCATAATGTGGAAACATGGGCAAATACGCTATGATCAAGCAATGTCCATCCCTTTCAAACCAGAAGTTCCTGAAACCATAACCATAAAAACCGTAATCACAAAGCTTAGAGACTTCCCAAAAATAGCAAATACCATACATAATAATCATATAATGGGCCCCTACCCTTCGTCGGGCCTCGCTCGATATCGGGTCCAGCCGGCATCGGGCCCCATCTAGCATTGAGCCACGCTCGGTATACAGATATGTTAGTCATCTGGCCCCGCCTGGTACACATATAATAATATAAACATATAATCATACGGGCACATGTGATAATCACAAAGACAATAACATACCATACATTCATCGAGCGCCGCCCGTTATAGGGCCTTTCCCGGTAAGCATAAAAACACATACTAATAACTAGCATACCATATAATCATCAGGCCTTAACCAGTAAGCATACCATCACATAACACATGCAAGATTCATGCAAGCATCTAGCATCCCAACATATAAACCATCGATTGGCATTGGTGCGTTCGACCCGATAAACTCAGTGAGGAGACCCACCTCAATCCGTTGATAACCAAATAACTGCTCGGACCATTGAACCAGATAACCGTGCACCAACTAAAAAAACAATCTTAATCAATAATTAACCCGATAACCCAAAATCTAATGCCTACTCCATAAACAAACTTCCTAAAAGGTAAAATACCATTTTACCATTTTCTTACTTGTTCCATAACCAAGGTCCAACAGAAATGCACAAAAGCCCAAACTAGCAACCTAAACCCCAAATCAAAAGCAACAAAAGCCCATTATGGCCCAAAAACCCGATTGGGCCACAAAACCATTAAAAACCTACATTCAAGAAAACCCTAAGTTCATCCGTGGCCTAAAGTTAGAAGTCCAGTGGCTTGACAAGGCCAAAATCTCAAAAATTCTGAAAAGGACAAACTGGGAAGTACGCCCCGCGTACCCACCCTCGAAACACATAAGACAATTCATTGATGTACAAATCACCTATTATGCTGAACGTACTTCCTGTGTACACCCAGTGTACTTATCAGGGACCAATATCCATATTAAGCTCTTTCATGGTTAAGATAATGACTTCCAAACTCAAATATGATCCTAATGAGATGTCTTAACACGTAAAGTTGGAAACTTTACACCTTTTCATGGCTTAATGGGGCCAAATCCTTAATAACATCAATAATAAACATCCAAACTCATGCATGGTCCAAAATAATTCATCAAGATGACATTTTTATGAACAGTGACCTCCCAAAGGACAATATCCAACATTCTAAGCTCTTGGAGTAGCTCATACTCACAAGCATGACTCTAAGGACCAATATGAACCCAAAATACTCCTTAAACTAGATCTAACACCTAAAGTCATCAACATTAAACTTTATTCCTCCAAAATGTAGATCAAGATGCAACATTCCTAGATCCAAAAGCTTCAAGCAATCCCACACTTCTCCAAGAAGTTCATTCTTCTTTTATGAACACCATAAAGCATGAAATACCACCAAAAGCTCAAAAACCACTCAAATGGGGGATAGGGGTTTGTTTCTAGGGTTTTAAGGGATGAAAGCTGAAGATAATAGGGTTTGGTGGTGAGTTAAGGAGCTTAAATAGGGTCCAAGACCCTAAATTAGGGTTTGGGTCTTATTGGAGTACGCTCAGCATACTTCTGGTACGCCCAACTTACTCCCTAAAGAACCACGATCGTTTTTCTTAGTACAACCAACGTAAGCCAATGTACACCCCGTGTACTGTCCTTATCACTAGTACGCCATGCATACATTTATGTATGCCTCACGTACCCGGTTAAAACCTAAAATCACCAAACTTCCAAAGGCCATAACTTCTTCGTAATAAGTTCATTTCTGACGATCCCTATATCTACAAAAAGTTAAATGAGAATCTCTATGCTTCTATCAATTCATAATTGCCTTAAAACTTTCCGAACTAATATCCAATTTCCATAAAAGCCTAAACCGATACTTTACCGATGTTGTGATATGTCAGAGAGGGTTGAATTGGAGTTGAGGGTGAGAATTGTGCTGATTCTTTCTCCTGATATCACAATACAAATGAGAAAGATGATCGTTAATCGATGTCCGAGAGGGATTCCCGAGACGACGCTCTGAAGATCAAGTTAGAATGGATTCGAGAGAAGTAAGGGTAAATATGAAGAAAAAGAGTTTCGTCCCTCTCTTCATGAAGAATAAGGGTCCTTTTATGCTTGGTTTTTTAGGCGTGTGCCTCATAACTGATTCTGCTTAGCATTCCCTCGTGAGGTGCGATGTGGCGGATCCGTATTGAAGGATCTCCTGTCACGCCTTTTTGCGTCATCCCTTCTTTGGCTAGAGGGGAATATTTGATTGTTACACCCATAAAATTTATGCCAAATTTAAACTTTTCAAAACATTTTTAAATCAATAGTTATTACAAATTTGTTTCCAAAATAGTCTATATCAGAGTTTTTCCCAGAAACCATAACAAAAGGTTAGGAGTTGTACGATCATGCATTTGCCTTGTCGCGATCCCCCGATACCCGTACTCACAGCAATACACATAGAATCACAAACAACACACTATGGGTCCAGTCAACCATCGGGTTGGAATACCCTAGGCCCACAACCCATAGGTTGGAATGCCCACATACTATAGGTCCAATCATCCTCGGGATGGAATATCCCAGGCCCACAACCGAAAGGTTGGAATGCCCACATATTACGAGTCCGATCATCCTCAGGATGGAATACTCACGGCCTATAACCAACATGTTGGAATGCCCAGGTCTATTAGCTTTCGCACAAAGCAGATGATCCTCAACCGCCAAACAAATATGTGCACACATATATAATAGATAATCACATAAACAGTCTATAGACAACAAGTGATCTAACGGATCATACCACATAGCACATAATACCATCCTATCTACCTCTAATAGATCATACCACATACTACATAATATTATCCTACCCTCTATGATATCGATCTAATAGATCATACTAGCATAACATAACCATATAACAATCCAACGGGTCGGCCTTGGCACCTTAGACCCTTGAGTATAGTGAAGATAACTTACCTTGCAACTGTCGACTGGAAATAGAAATCTCAACTCTTGAATCACCACCACGAACTCCACCACCTATACCCAAACACGTCATAAGGTTCATAAATTCCCGGATACCCCAGAAGTCAACTGGTCAATCCTTGGCTAACGTCAAATTCAAAGTCAAGGTCAATTTCTCGGGTCAACAGTCTATGTTGACCTGGACTCGTCGAGTGTATTTAGCCACTCGTCGAGTTCCCAGCATAACTCATCCACTTGCCGAGTCATCAGAGTGCCTCGTCGAGTTCCTAAGGCTCGCGGTCGAAACCCCTTGGGCACTCGTCAATTTCCCCCTGCAACTCGACAAGTTCACACGCATCCAACAGTTAGTAAGAACCTTAACCGACTCACCGAGTCCACAACAATCTTCATCGGAATCACTGAGCTGTTCATCCAACTCATCGAGTTCAGGACCATCTCCATATGACTCGTTGAGTCCCTTCAATACTTCATCCATACAAATGCTTTTTAAGCCATGCAAAGGTTCCAGACTACAGATCCAACCTTCCAAGTCCTGCTTATCACGTAAAGTTGCACACTTTACGTGCATGTAAAGGTTTAAGGCCAGTAAAATGACAAAACTAGGTTTGAAGTGAAGTTCAACACTTGAGGGGAAGCTCATACTCGACCAAGCTACTTTTTTTATGGATCTAGAGACCATAGGGAGTCCAGATCTGAAGTTCCAGCTTCATATCTTGGCTCAAACACCAAAATCCTTTCCTAAAACCCACCCAAAATAGATTAAAAGAGAGATGAGCCAAAGAAGCAGCTTAATACCTTCCAAAGAGTGACAACTGATGAAGCTATTAGCTCCCCACGAGTTCATAGCCTTGATTTCCTTGCTTCCCCAAGTGTTCCTTACCAAAGTCCCTCTCTTCCAAGCTCTATCACATCAAAGAAACACACACACATGATTTAGGGTTTATGAGTGCCAAGAAGCTATGAAAGGGAGGTTGGGGAAAGCCAATGATCCTTTAAATAGGGCACAATAGCTCGGGATTTAGGGTTTCATCTGCCAGCTCCTACTCATCAAGTTCCTCCTTGGAATCGACAAGTAGATCACTAAAACACGCGAACCAACCTGCTGCTACTCGACGAGTAGGGCAGCCAACTCATCGAGTACGCCTTGAAATCAATAAAATTCTCACATAGCCAATACCTGAAAATCGGGGAATTACAATGATATTATGATCATCATAGCTATCGTCACATAGACAAGTAGAACTCTCTGATTGGTCCCATGTTTGTCGAAGTGTTATTTCTAGGAGAAGAGGGAAAGGCATAGTTCTACCCTTAAACTGCCATACTAGTGACCCCGCGTTGGCAAAGGCTCAACCTTGGCCTCAGAATGGGCATGATTAGGTTCTACCCAAGCCAAGATTGGCGTTAGTTTGACACCTCCTTTTTTACGTTCTCATTAAGGGATATGTTAACAAGCCCCTTAGGCTTGTAGACGTACGTGTTGGCTTGGTAGCGTCGTCGTTCAAGTCTATATCTCAATACGTGTATGTCTGAGATTATCTCCAACATTTGATAGACTTTAGGCAGCGCCATCAATGTGTGTTAGATACATCGAGATACGGTTCGTGATGCCAGTTTTGCCTATAAAATCCCCTTTTTTCCCAAAACCTTTCATTTCTACCTCCTCTACTTGATTTTGTTGTATCGACTCAGGTATTTTAAAATTTTTTCCTTTCTACCATTCATCCGTTCTTGATGATGTACCGTTATGGCAGAGTTCATACCGCAGAGGAGTTCCAACTTCTGCAAGATTGTTTTGGTTTCTTACCGGAGCACGGTATGACGATTCCGGTGAAGGGTTCATCAAACTATGATTGTCCTCAAGGGAAAGTAGGGGTTTTGATTCCTCTATTCAAAGCGGAGTTTTCCTGCCGATGTCTGACTTTTTCGATATGATTGTGCATCACTATGGCTTTTCCATTGACGAGTTAACCCCGAGTGCTATCAATAAAATCATACGTTTTAAACTGATTTGTCGATCTCTATGTTGTATAGGCACTTTTTGGGTTTTCAATTACTTTTTATGTTCAACTACAAACTCTGGTGTTCGTACTTTAGCGAAAAGGTGGGGCATTTGTCAGTTGATCTTTGAACAAGATACTCTAAAGAAAAATTGGCAGAGGCAATAGCTCTGGGTTAACCGAAACCTTCTGTGGAATAGGTTTTGTAAAACACGAGACTTTCCTGACCGTCTTCCTAAGTTGTTCGGGAGTAACTTAACTCTTGGCAAATTGCTAGGAAACATTATTGTCGTTTGAGAGAACTGGGAAGATTTCATTCTTGCCGTGGTTGGTATGAGTGCCGCCTGGAAGGCTCGTGGGAAGATGGCACAGTTATTCATCATGATATGCAATATTCACTCATCTCCTCCCCCCCTTTTTTTAGAAAGAAAAAAAAGAAGAAAGAAGGGGAATAGGGTATCGTATTGGCTTGTGAGTTCTTATACTTGGTGTTTTTTTTCACAGGTGCGAAAGCTGAGATTTCCTTGGAGATGACCCCGCATGGTCACCATCGGGGTAAGCTTTTCCACCGGGAGGTTGATATTGTAGAGGCTCTTCCCTCTCTCGTGTCTGAAAAACACATGTGAGAGCTCGCTAGATTGCTCTTAGCAGAAGAGGGAAATACTGGTTCTAGCATACCTGCCTTGCCTTCCCAGCCGACTGTTAGGGTCGTTTCCCCAATTCGACTTCCAGCTTCCGATTCTTCCGATTTGCATGCGAGGGCACAAGCAGGAAAAGGTACTTCCCATATTCGTAAAAGACAAAGTTTGTTCATGGTGTCATCGTCAGACGAGGAGACTGAATCCGATGATGCGGGCCTCCATCCTCGTAAGATGCATAAAACTATGTTCGTGGCCAAGCTTCTTATCGTACATTCAGGAGTTCATGGCGAACTCGTCATACCGTAAATTTTACGAGCTCCATGTAAATGCTAGGAGGAGGGAGATTGAGTTGGAGACTCGGGCAAGGGAGGACGCGGAGTCTCAGGGGAGAGACCGGCGGTCGGCATAGTCACAACAAGCAGCCAAGCAAGATAAGCCCGTTGATCCGAGACCAGGAAGCCAGAAGGGCTGCACTTGTGGCAAATGCAGAAAGAGTCACGAGGTATCTTGTCGTACGGGGATTTGCTACAAATATAGCAAGGAGGGGTATATGGCGAAAGATTGCCCCACGGGTTTTGCAGTCTGTTTCCACTGCAATCAGACGGGCCATCGGAAGGCCGAGTACCCTCAGCTTGTTCAGGGATCAGCCCAAGGTTCCACTCTTGCTGCATTTCGTGTTACTGATGTTAGGACGGTGAAGGCCGAGGTTTCGAAGGCCCGTGGGAGAGCTTTCAGATGATAGCGGAGGAGGTCCGCGCAACACCTGATTTTGAGGCTGGTATATATTTCTCTATTTATTCATTTATTTACTCTGTTCTTCTCTTTATGATTATCCTGTGCTATATTTAGGTACATTTCATGTGAGTTTTTTTACCTTCTTTAGTATTATTTGACTCGGGTGCGAGTCGATCCTTCGTGTCTATAGCCTTTAGTCGTCACATTGGCAACCTGCATGAGGCATTGAGTCGACCTCTAAGGGTTTCTATAGCAGATGAGCATGCGGTTTTTCTACCGAGGCATTCCGAGGATGCATACTGGAGATTTTTGGCGTTAAGTTTCCAATTGACCTGGTACCGATCGCGATGGGTGATGTCTGTGTCATCATGGGTATGGATTGGTTGAGCCGTTTTGGAGTAGTGATCGACTACGAGCACCAGTTGGTGACTATACGAGACCCTAATAGGGGAGTGCTTATAGTGTATGGTGAGGGTACTAGATCTGAGTTAGCCTTCTGCTATGCCACTAGGGCAAGGCAGAGTTTACAGCAGGGTTGTATGGGATTCCTGGCGTATGTGATAGATTCGTGGACTATGTCATAAAGGTCGAGTTCTATATCCGAGGTTCCGATAGTATGCGAGTTCCCTGATGTTTTCCTTGAGGAGTTACTGGGTATGCCTCCCGAGAGGCAAGTGGATTTTTGGGTTGATTTGGTTCTGGGGGTCGCGCCTATTGCCAAGGCACCTTATCGCCTTGCATCGCCAGAGATGTAGGAGTTATCCTCACAGCTTCAGGAACTGCTGGGGAAGGGATTTATTCGATCGAGTAGCTCGCCATGGGGAGCGCCGATCCTTTTTGTCATGAAAAAGGATGGTTCACACTGGATGTGCATTGATTACCGGGAGTTGAACAAGTTGAAGGTTAAGAACCGTTACCCACTTCTGAGGGTTGATGATCTATTCGATCAGCTGCAGGGGGCATCATGGTTCTCCAAGATTGATTTGAGATCCGGATATCACCAAATAAGAGTGTGTGAGGAGGATATTAAGAAGACGGCCTTTAGAACTCGTTATGGGCATTACGAGTTCGTGGTGATGCCTTTTGGACTCACCAACGTACCGGCGGTGTTCATGGATCTCATGAACCGGGTGTGTAGGCCTAAGTTGGACCGGTCGGTGATTGTGTTCATTGATGACATCTTAGTGTATTCGAGATCTAGGGGCAGCATAAGGAGCATCTACGAGACGTTCTTGGGGTTTTAAGGTCGGAGAGGTTGTATGTCAAATTCTCCAAGTGTGATTTCTGGCTACGAGAGGTCCAGTTTTTAGGACATCTCGATAATCAGAGCGGGATATTGGTTGATCCAACCAAGATTGAGGTAGTTATGTGATGGGAGGTGTCGAGATCCCCATCCGAGATTCGGAGTTTTCTGGGATTGGTCGGATACTATCGGAGATTTATCAGGGATTTCTACAAGATTGTGGTTCCTCTCACCAAGTTAACCCGGAAAGGCATTACTTTTGTTTGGGGGGCTGAGCAGCAAGCATCTTTCGAGACTCTTCGCCAGAGATTGTGTGAAGCTCCGGTGTTAGCCCTTCCGGAGGGAGTAGAGGACTTTTTAGTCTATTGTGACACGTCTATCTCCGGGATAGGTGCAGTATTGATACAGAGGGGTCACGTGATTGCATATGCATCGAGGCAGCTGAAGCCTCACGAGACGAGGTATCCCACACATGATTTGGTGTTAGGGGTGGTGGTGTTTTCCCTCAATATTTGGTAACACTATCTTTATGGTGTAAAGTGTACCATCTACACGGACCACAAGAGTCTGAAGTATCTCATGGATCAGCACAACCTAAATATGAGATAGAGGAGATGGTTGGATGTGGTGAAAGATTATGACTGCAAGACCTTGTATCATCTTGGCAAGGCTAATGTGGTAGCCAACACCCTGAGCGGTAGAGCATAGAGTGCTCCGGTCCGAGATGTGTGCATGAGGATGATAGTGATGACTCTAGTCTTAGATACCATTCGAGAGGCCTAGGTGGAGGCCATAAGACCGGAGAATTGCAAGAGGGAGCGGGTGATTGGGCAAGTGTCCGAATTTTTGCCTGATAGTCGTGGACTTATGACTTTCCAGGGGCAGATTTGGGTGCCCTACATTGGAGGAGCTCGCTGTATTTTAATGGAGGAGGCGCATAGATTGAGATTCTCGATCCATCTAGGAGCCACTAAGATGTACTTGGACCTGAAGAGAGATTATTAGTGGACATGTATGAAGAGGGACGTGGCTTGGGTAGTTGAGAGGTGCTTGACCTGTCGTCAAGTTAAGGCCGAGCACCAGCGTCCTCATGGTCCATTGCAGCCTCTGGAGGTTCCCCAGTGGAAGTGGGAAAATATTTCCATGGACTTTATCACCAAGTTGTCGGGGACTGCACATAGAGTTGATGCAATTTGGGTGATTGTGTACCGGCTGACGAAGAGCACTCATTTCCTCGCCATTAGCGAGAGCTCTTCTGCAGAGAGGTTGGCCGAGATTTATGTGAGGGAGGTGGTAGCTCGGCATGGAATGCCGACCTCGATAGTGTCAGACCGAGAAGTACGTTTCACTTCTAGATTCTTGAAGAAATTTCATGAGGAGTTAGGTACCCGATTACACTTCAGTACTGCGTACCATTCGTAGACAGGCGGGGCAGAGCACGCGGACGATTCAGACACTTGAGAACATGTTGTGTGCATGTGTTATGGATTTCGGGGGAATTTGGGACACTTATTTACCTTTGGATGAGTTTTCTTACAACAACAGCTATCATTCGAGTATTGGTATGCCTCCCTTTATGCTTCTTTATTGGAGAAAGTGTCAGACTCCCATTTGTTGGGGAGTAGTGGGGCAGCGAGTGATGGGTGGCACTGAGATAGTGTTGAAGACGAATGAGCAGATATAGCAAATGAGACAGAGGTTACTGATGGCCTAGAGTCACTAGAAGAGTTATGCAGATAGGCGACGATCCGAGCTAGAGTTCCAACTCGGAGATTTTGTACTCCTGAAGGTATCCCCTTGGAAAGGGGTAATCCGATTCAAGAAATGGGGAAAGCTGGGGCCCTGATACATCAGTATTTTCAGGGTGATCGCCAGAGTGGGTAGGGTAGCATATCGTTTGGAGCTACTTGTGGAGTTGAGTCAGATTCATAACACCTTCCATGTGTCTCAGCTGAGGAAGTGTGTAGCCGATGAGACAGCAATGGAACCACTAGAGGACATTTAGGTGGATGCGAGCCTAAATTACACTGAGAGACCGATTGCGATCATGGATCGAAAGGTGAAGGTTCTGAGGAACAAAGAGGTACCCCTGGTTTAGGTCCAGTGGCAACATTAGAGATGGTCCGAGTTGACGTGGGAGCCGAAGTCTGAGATGCGAGAGCAGTATCCAGAGTTATTTTCAGATCATAACTTCGGGGGTGAAGTCTGATTCTAGTAAGGGGAGAATTGTAACATCTGAACTTCCATGTATATTATTTGTTATTAATTTATTTAATTATCTCTTGAGCTACTCGACGATTCGGTGCTCCAACTAGTCGAGTAGACTCGTGATGGGTCACGCGGGTTTAATGACCTACTCGACGAGTCCGAGGAACCGACTCGCTGAGTAGGCGTTGTGATAAGAAACCCTAAATCCCCGGGTTTGGGTCCTATTTAAAGGCACTTATAGCCTTATTTGTGGCTACACTTCCCTAAGAGCAAACCCTAAACGGCCTTTGAGCTTTGAGAGAGGGTGTTTTGCTAATTGTGAGTGTTTGGTGCATCTTGTGAAGATAAGAGAAGAATTCCAAACCAAGGGACAAGAAGGTGCTGCTAGATCTGAGATTGTTTCACTTTAGAGCTTCTGGGAAAGTTATAAAGCTTGCAACTTTCTCATTATTTTGTATAGATCTCATGATTTTGTGAATCTAGGGTTTTTCCACCCAAATATGAGGACCTTGAGTGTTTTATGTTCATTAAGAGGGTTGAACTTCATATCTGGACCATGTAAGGTCCCTAGAGTCCAAAAGTCCCTGATTTATCCAACCATAATAGTGATCTTGAGTGAAAAACCCTTTTTGAGGCGTGTTTTAGAATTTTAAGCTCAAAATGCCATGCATGAACATAAAGCCTTTGACTTTACTTGATAGATCGACCTTAGGATTGTAGATCAAGAGTTTGGGAAGGTTCTCTGCCTTGAAAACGATTGAATGAGATATGAGTCTGAAAGGACTCACCGATTCAAGGATTTGACTCAACGATTCGGATGGGATTGTCCCGATGGATTTGATCAGGCAGCAACTCGGCGAGTTGAGTGATTATGTGGATGGAAAGCAGACTCGTCGAGTCCCATAAGTGCACTCGACGAGTATGGTCAACATGGACTGTTGGCTCGAGTTCGACTTCTGTTGACTTAGGGTTTGTTCAACCTTGTCTTTGGGAAACCATGGAGGGTTAAAATGGTCTTTTTCCCACTTCAAGAGAGAGAGAGAGAGAGAGATAACTTAGTAAAATGTATGGTTTAAAGAGTTAATTAGATATAACTATCTTATATGATTAGGAGGAGGCTAGATTTGGTGATTCGTGTGCGAGAAGTATCCATTCACTTAGCTTACTTATGAGGTGAGTCTTCTCAGTATACTTACCAACAATGGTATCTTTATGTGATTGAGCTGTTTTATGTGTTTAACTGTGCATTGTAGTATTCTGCATTATGTATTTGTGATTTATGTTGAATATTGTTGCTATGAGTTTACTGAGTTAGTACCGGAGGGTTCCACTGAGACACATTGACCGGAGGGTCTTATTGAGTTATGGCCTAAAGTGGCTAATGAGTTGTGTATGGTATTTGTGGAACTCACTAAGCTTTGTACTTACTGTGTTATGTGTTACGTGTTTCAGGTACTTCTCTGTATCAAGGGAAGGCACCGACTATATTGTACACAAACTGGCGATTGTTTTATGATTTAAAGGATCCTGGAGTTTTATATACCGTTTTCTTTTGAACATGAGTTTTGGTGAATTGACATTGTGGCATTTTATGGTTTATTTATTAAAATCAATGTGTTTTGAAATTTAAAAATTTGGTCAAAATTTTACGTCGTTACACTCCCCTTAGCCGGGTAAGAATACCACCAGCGGTTTTTTTGCACGCCTATCAATCTTGCGTTTCAAACTATCATTTGGGGTGTCGTTTAGCTCATCAGAGGCCCTTTGTGGTTCTCTTCTATAAGAAAGCTTACGTGTTAGATTGAGTGGCACTCTGGCTCTATCTTTGTTGTTCCTAGCGCTTATCTCCTTCATTCCAGAAGGTTTGGGTTCATGTTTGACATTGGCCAACATCTACTTTGAGTCCCGAATCGCTCTTTGGCTGGGCATGGCTCTTCCATCGATTTTGGCCGGACTGGTCCCGTTGCCCACGGGTAGGCATTTCCTTGCCTTGCGATCTTCGCTCCGTACGCTGGCTGAGCCATCTTTAGGCCAACACTTATTTCTTTCTGTGGAGGAGATGTTGTGAGCCGTCTAAATATATCACTTTTCCTTTTCCTAGACTCGTGGATCGACATTTGTGCTATTTCAGACCTCCGATGTAGATTTTTCGCCTTCTGGAAACTTTCGCTTTGACACGATTGAGTTTCTTGCTTTGTTTCTCGTTGGGTACTACTTCCATTATCTGGCTTGGTTTCTACTACCATTGTCGATCTGTCACTCATCCTGAATTTAAGAATACCTGGGAGAGTAGACGGAACTTGTAGTTGAAAAGGTGTTGGTCGGCCTAGTAGAATATTGTGTTCAGTAAAACGGTCAACAACCCTGAATTCAAGTACCCTTGTTATCAATTTTTCCCCATTATGGCTGACCAATTTAAACAGGAGCATAATTGTTCCTACTGGACAGATGTCATGACCAGTGAACCTAACAAGTGGGCCCCGGTGTGGTGGTTGGAGGTGTTTTTTCCATTCAATTGGTAATCGTCGAAGGCAGTGTTCATAGATCACATTGACCCTGCTTCCGTTATCAATGTACATATGCACAACACGGTTTTGGCTAGTGAACCGATTATGTGCAATGGGTCAATTGGATCCCAATGCTCTGGCATGGGATCACTCATTAAAAAGGCTATATTGAGTATGTATTGATGATATACCTTCGCACCTACGTGTTGGCTCTGGCGATTGCTGCATGGGCGGGGCCCGGTGATGGTAAGAATCTATGCCCTCCTTTCATGGTCCTTTCCCCAATCCTTTTGAGTTTTAGACTGGTGCTTATCCTCATCAAATTTTTCCCTAAGGTTTTTTGCTATGTCAACTATGTTTCCAACTAGTTGTTTCTCATCGATCTCCCGCTTCCATACCGTGCATTCGTTGGTATCATGAGTTTTGCTCTTGTGATACTCATAGAACTTGGTGTTGTCCTTGCTCTCCTTTGTTGGAGTTTTGTTGATTGCATGGACGTCTGTATGACCATTCCTGTTTTCACTTTTGTTGAATCGCCTTTACCTTCTCGACATGTGCCTGGTGTGACGATTGTGATTCTATTGGTTGCTATCTTACGTCTCCTGCTAGGCCGAGCTCGGCTTGGATGATGCTTCCTCCTGTTTAATGTATGTGTTGGCTATAGCTTTGAGATTGGCCTCCTTTCGCTCTTCCCCTTTGATATTTCTCAAATATTTTTCCACACGGAACTTGAGCTCATCCCTGGATTTGGGGATTTTCCCTTGCATCTTCTTGGATAGGGGTCTAGGAAGCAGATATTGGGTGAACGCACCCGTCACCAGGAATTCTTCATGCCCTGGGACATTCAAGGTAGCTAGTGCGACTCGATCGTAATAGTCACGAATCGACTCTCATTCTTTTTGCTTACACTCCATCGCAGAGTTGGCATCCCCTTTTCCCTTCCTCAACTGCATAAAGTTGTCGAGGAAAAGGTATTTCATCTGCTCAAAACTCGAGACACTATCTAGCCTCATAGACTTGAACCACGTGCCTGCATTTCCTGTTAGGCTACAGGGTAAATAAGTGTAGGTGAAGCGGCGATCCATCTTAAGAGATGTCATCGTCCACTCGTAGTTGTCGATGTGGTCATCCGGATAAGTGGTACCGTCATAATTTGGCATGTTTGGTATCATCTTAGTGTAAATAATCTCGTATTGGAGTAGCTCATGGTTGAAATTGGAGCTTGCACTTCGCATAGGGTTGTCCATGTACAAGTACAACATACCGGCGTAGGCCATGTGTTGTTGCATCTGCTAGGGGCTCGCATACATCTGGTTATTCATGGTTGCCGACGAGATTTATGTTTGATATTGTTGTAGGTTTGGCGGCAATCCAAATTGTTGGAATGCGTATTGCCCTGTCAGGGGGATCTATCTATGGGTTTGCTCATGTGTACTGTTGTGTGGATGAGCTGAACGGTTGAGTGGCCGCCACGAAGGGATTAAATTTAGGTGCTAATGATAATTGAATGCCAAATACATAAAAGTTGGATCCCTAATTGGTCGAGGGTATACATGCCTGTGACTTGCAGCTAAGACAGTTCTAGGATTGAACCTGGGGTCTGTTGTACGAACGGGTTGAAGATCGGTAGTTGTTGTATGAATAGCGGCACATCAGACAAGCCTACCATAGTGATGTATATGTAGACCATCGAGGAATATTGTGGCTGTGGTTGAATATTGTGAAGGATCCAGGTTTCAGTGCCCGAAGTGTTTGGGAAGGATTGTTGTCTTGAAACAGGGATCTCTATTTGTTGTGTTGCAATAATATGTGGAGTTGTGGTTACGATTGCTACTTGTGGAGTTAGATTAGCTAAAGGGCACCATAGACTGGCTATGTAGGTTGTCGTTGTTTCAACTGCAGAGCTGGATCGTGTCTATGAGACTGATATACGATTTGAAGCGTGTTCTTCCTGGATGGAAGTTTGCCTTCCATATAATGGATGTATTGGACGTACCGGACTTCTCACCGCTACTCCTGACGCCGCTAAGATCTCACCTCCCATCATTGCTCGTTGGGCTTGCTTCATGGATGTAACGCTCTGAGGATACATCTGGATGACGCCAAACTGTGATAGTTTAGCGAGGTTTGAATTGGAGTTGAGGGTGATAATTGTGTTTATTCCTTCTCCTGATATCACAGTACCAATGAGAAAGATGATTGTTAGTCGACATCTGAGAGGAATTCCCGAGACGAAGCTCCGACAATCAAGTTAGAATGGATTCGAGAGAAGTAAGGGTGAATATGGAAAAAAAATCATCCCCCATTTCATGAAGAAGGGGGGTCCTTTTAGATCTGGTTGTGAGGCGTGTGCCTCTTAACTGATTTTGTTGAGCATTCCCTCTTGAGGTGCTACGTGGCAGATCTGTATTGAAGGATCTCATATCACGCCTTTTTGCCTCGTCCCTTCATTAGCTAAAGGGGAATATTTGATATTATGATCATCGTGGCTGTCGTCAGATGGACAATGGAAATCTCTTATTGGTCCCACGTTTTTCGGGGTGTTATTTATAGGAGAAGAGGACAAGGCGCAGTTCTGGCCCTTAACCATCATACTAGTGACCACGCATTAGCGAGGACCTATCCTTGGCCTCAGACTGGGCATGATCATGTTCTATCCAATTCAAGATCGATGTTAATTTAACTCCTCCTTTTTGACGTTCTCCCTGAGGGGTACGTTAACAACCAATATACCCCTTGGCTCCAATACACAAACCGAACTCCTAGATCATCTAAATTACATTACCCACACCCAAATGGGTCTAAATCTCTTATCCTCAAAGGCCCTAAGCCTGATGATACCTAATCTTCATTCATTACCCCGCATTAGGAAACGATTCAAAATAGGGCGTTATAACTCTCCCCCACTTAATTCCTTCCTCGAAATCACTCCTTACCACCCTCCTGGAAACCAACACTCCGATGAAAACCTGCTAGTGTTGAACGAAACATTGAACCTATAACTGTCAATCCAACGCGATCCTGCTAAAATCCCAAAATCCCACCACTTTCCTAACCTCCACACATGTAGAACCAATATGTAACATAATCAAAAGATTCTCGACTAAAAGCCAAATCGGTAAATAACTCATAACCGAAAATCCAAGGATCTACACTTGCATTTCACTTGAAATCTTCTTATCCACTATCTAAAACCAGGATATAATATCCCCAACCACCGATGAGACTACCAGTCTCACACCTAGCCCAGCCACCAAGCTCCTAAGAGTCCAACAAATAAGGTTATCCTAGCCTATGCACCATACTATGTTATTCCCTGGCCACATAATCATCCTATTAAAACCATAATTCAATTCCTTTACCTAACAGGTCTTTACCAGGTCTAACCTGCATTGCTATAATCATATGGGCCTCACCCACAGGTCTCAACCAGTCTATACCAACGAATAGGCCATGCCCATGGGTCTCACCTCATTAAGAGCTACACAGACCCAACCCACCTCGGACCTCAATGGTCGTATTCCCATAACATATATATGCTCTCCAACCCCACTGTCTGCCTTGCCCAAGGCACGAGCTTTTATACTCACGACCACCCAACGATAGTCTACCTCAGTCTGGTGAATGATAAGATCCCATCGCATACTTACAACACTTCCATACTATATGTCGATCCAGTGAATGCTACGACCACCCTACAGTCATAGGACACGTCTATCCCACCATGGCCACCGCCCATGGTCTTACCACACCTCTACCTTATCAACCACAATCATCATGCATCGAAACCGACATCCGAATGAACCTCGATCACGTGTTTGGGTCATGCTTCGAAACCCAAAGCCTTCATGAAACAAGAACAGGCAGCAAGGCTCTAACACACCTCGCAACCTGGATTTATCCACATGCCTGCTATGCATCACAAAGAAGACGCCAACCAGCTGTTGGAAGTTTACTAAACCCCCAACTTACACAACTTCAATCCAGATGGCCATTTGAGTCATCTTTCCTCCCTACTGGGATGTGAAACTCACCCAAGTTTCACACCTAATTTAGCTTCTAGAAATCTGAACGATTCTCCAACACTTGGATTCATCGAAGCTCCCCTAACCCACAAATTTTAATGGATTCCCAACCCATATTACCTCCTTATAAGTCGAACCTTCAACAACCTGAGCCTACCAAGAACTAGCATTCGATTACTAGCCAATCCTAATGATCGCAAAAATCTTGAAATCCAGATGATACTCTCGGAAATATCAGCAAGCCTGATAACCCCAATCGATTCCCATGGTACAGAACCAAATCCTTAAGTCCTTTATGCTAGTGATAAAGACCATAACCCTTGCTTTGAACTAGCAAACCTTCACTCCAACTTCCCATCCTCAAAAGAATCTCTGAATTATAGCCATCTTCTACCCTTGTGATAATAAAATTCCCCTAGCACTTCCAATGACCAAACAAACTCATGCGGTTGCCACCTTCATCTTCTTGCCATAACTCTTTCCCTAGAAACAGTAGAGATTAGACCCAAAGGTCCTGCCATAGACGACTGTCGATCGTACAAGAACAGATGCTAACACGATAGAACTCTGACTTCATTGGAGAACTAACCAGCTAATCTGACCATAAACCTTCCAAACGATACCCCTGAATAGACCCCATCGAAGTGTAGCACCCGGTTCTTGGTACGTAATTCAAATATGAATTCTTGCACTTTTACTCTGGGACTCGACGAGTAGGAGGCCCCAAATCGTCGAGTCGAGGAAAAGTTTGGACTCAAGTGGAAGAATCTACTTGTCGAGTTGGAGGGCCCTACTCGATGAATAGACCTGTCTGGATGAAACCCTAAGTTTGAGGGTTTGCACCTTATTTAAACAACTTATAGGGTCTCCACTCCAGCCTCCCTCACCCTCAGACTCTCTTCACGAAACCCTAATTGATCATTGAGTGTTCTTGAGCTTTTGTTCTATTTGTATGTGTGGTTAAAGCTGGAGAAGAAGGAGGAGGCTTGGGGGATCAAGAGAAAGCAACTAGATCCAGGGGTTTTGTCACATTTCCAGCATGTTTGAGGTAAAAAGCTTCAAACTTAACCATTTACCTCTTAGATATCTAGTTAGGGCTAGTTTCTACCTTTTCTAGGTCATAGTGAAGCCATTTTTGGATTGTGTGTTTCTTTGGGGTGGTATATTCAGATCTTGAACCTTTAAGGGTTCCCATGGCATAAAGGTGCCAACTTTATGGCCATGGGAGTCCCATGCACCTTCTGAACTTCATTTTTGGGTCTTTTCAGCTTGAAGACCCATGCATGGACGTAAAGTTTGTGACTTTACATGTAATATGGACCCTAGGAGGTCAGATCTATGTTCTGGATGCAATAAGACCGACTAAAGTCAAATGTATGGACATGGACTTTGGCGGACTCGACGAGTCGGGTTATGGTTCCCCAATCTTTTCGGTTTCTGATCGATCTGGTTGAGTCTAGAAGAGGACTCAACAAGATAGACGTGAATATGGACTTGAAGATCGAATAACTCGACGAGTTCAAGGATGAACTCGTCGAGTTCAAGGATGAACTCGTCGAGTTCAAGGATGAACTTGTCGAGTTCAAGGAAATGTCCCAACTATTGAAGATGAAATCTACGATTTCAAGGATGAACTCGGCGTGTCAAGGACTAAACACTTCAACTTGTATGAAGCAGGACTCGATGAATTCGAAGATGAGCTCAGCGAGTCATGAGAAAAAGGTCTCGATTTTGTACGAAGAAGAACTGGACGAGTTCTTAAAATACTCGACGAGTAGGATCGAAGTCCCAGCACTTTGAGGATTATGGAACTTGAAAAGTTGGGGGACAACTCGGCGAGTTGGGTCAACCAGATGTTAACCTTAACCAAAAGTTGACTTTGACCATGTTGTTGACCTTGACTTTGACTTTGACCTGAGTTGACCCTTGAAAGGGTTAAGAGTATGAAATGGTAATTAAGGAAGTTTATTATGTGTAGGAGTTGAGAGGAGTTGATCCCGTCATCAAGGACAGTTCAGAAACCTCACGACATTGAGGTGAGTTACCTTCCAATAGAAGTGGGTTGAAGGCACCAAGGTCGGCCCACTAGTATGAGTTATAGTAGAGATAATTGTCTTTATGGTAATTTCCTGGTATGTTGTTATCTGTTATGATTATGTGCTAGCCTGATATGATGTTATGTGATATGAGGAGGAATAGTCCCCATAACCGGTCGATAGGACCAAGGGTAGGTCAAACACCCTGGTATATCTGACGGGGGTAGGTTGGGCACCCCGATATGCCTAGAAGGGGTAGGTTGAGCACCCCCGTATGCTGAGCAGGGTAGGTCGGGCACCCAGATATGCCTGAAAATATGTATTATGTATGGTATGTGGTATGATGGGGGAACTTACTAAGCTTTTTGCTTACAGTTTTCAGTCTTGTTTTCAGGTACCTCTTCATAGAAGGGGAAGGAGCTGGCACGGTAGTAGTGCATCACACACATAGGATTTCCGCATTATGAGATTCTTGAGATTGTAATATGACATTATTATTATTTTTATGATATGGTTCTGAAACATGTGATTATGGTTTTATGAAATGATGAGACTCGATGATGTTTTCTTATAAATGTTTTTCTAAAACATTATATTAAAATGAAATTTTTGGTATTGAAAATTAGGATGTTACAAGTTGGTATTAGAGCCTTGGTTTGAGGGATTTAGACACACTTTTGGGGGTGTCTGAACTCAAATCGAGGATTTGAAAGATTTTCACAAGAAAATAGTTTTTCCAAAAGTTAAAGTAAGGAGTTTTGAGAAAGAACAAGGTGTGTGATGCATACAACCGGGCGAGATGAAGTAAGTTTTCCCCAAGATACCCATACATTTTATGTTATGTTATGATATGATTATGAGAAATGCATGATAGATTAGGGCTAAGGGTCTAAGAATATGTCTGATATGCCTGTTGTATGTGCTTATTGAGCTGTAAGTGATGGATTTTGAGCATTCTAACACTTCCTAAGTGTACATGCAACCCTAATAACCTTGGATCTATGTTTGTCTAATTGTCATGCAAAGTTGAA